TCTCCTTGAACCCCAGTCGGCCTCAGCAGATGGCCGCTCACACTGAGCCTGGTTCTGCTGGAGGTTTCTTCCTATTTAATTAATTTGACGTAATGGTATGGTGAACTGTAGAGTGCCTTGAGATGACATGTGTTGTGAATTGGTGCTATAGAAATATATATATGTATATATATATAACATATGACCTTTAAAAGCTCAGAGGTTCTTAGCTTCTAAATCTCAGGTCTGAAATGCCTGGTGAGGATAGTGCGTGAGTGCGATTCCATTGAAGTGTACATCAGGGGCGCTTCTCACATATTTACATCCACAGGCGGTCCTGATTGATATGGAAGAGGGCGTGGTGAACGGGATCCTGCAGGGCGCACTGAGGGAGGTGTTCGACAGCGCTCAGTTCCTCACAGACGTCTCGGGTTCAGGCAACAACTGGTGAGAGACAGACTCGCCACAGGAGTCCTTTGAGCTCTAACGGGGTGGAGCAACTGTGGTGCATCATATTTTTAAACATGTGGCAGCTATTTTACAGTCATTAACACGTGCTGTTACAACATGCTGATTGCTAATTGTTTTGTGCTTAGGGGTAGGAACAAAGCCAAATAGCTCTAATTGAGTTATATTGGTTTTCTTTTTTTTTTCTGGTAAAAGAATGTCAAATATCTTCGCTAAAACCATCATTTTGATTGTGCTGTGAAGATGAAATGTACTGTACCTGTTCTATCCAGTTCAGTTCAACTGTATCTGTGTTTTGATTTAGATTAGTATCATTGTTTTTAATTTTCTGTGAATCATATCGCTGTACTTCATAGGCAAGATTCAAAGGTTTGTGAAACAAGATGTGTGAAAATTTCCCTCATGTGTTCTGCCACGTGACAGTGAGGCTGAAAAACCAAAGATCCATGTGAACCGGAGCTGTTAGTGACTCAGTGAGAAAAGAATTTAAGGCACATTAAAGGGGAGTTCCCACAGGACACTTTAAACCGCTTTAGCATCTTTTCTTTCAGGAACAATTACCTTTTTCATTCTGTAACTGCTGGCTGCACGGAAGCACGTTTCTTTTCTTAGTATAGTCATTATCTTGTGTCACACCACGCACTGACGGCGGCTTTCATTCATTCCACCTCAGGAGATGTCACTGTTGCAAAACAAACTCTAGCTTTACACTTTAAGATCAGCTAGTATTGAGTTATGTGACTTTGTTAAGCCGGCATCTGTGAAAAATCCAGAACACGTGTAGCTCTTATAGCTCTTATAAGTCCAGCAAATGGTGTTGGTGTGCCGGATAATCTTATAACATACAGTACAGTTACAATGTCTTGAAAAAATGTACTTTATATCCGTTTCTACATTATGTTGGGTTCAATAATATTCTTTAATATGTTTTTTGGTTGTTTTTAGCATTTTATGCTGTGATCCAAAATGGTGTATGATAGTGAAGGTAAAGGTAGAGGATAGTATATTCTTTAAAATAAAGTTGCTGTGTAATCATATTCGTCCTTAAGCCGGGCGTAAGCTGTACCTTTTTTTTTTTTTTTTTGCCCTTTTCGGGCCGAATCTCCAGCCGTGCGAGAATTCTTTGATCGGGCCGACTTTCAGCCTGATCGTGCGTCCTGCGTTGTGTAGTATACAGGGGGTTACGAGGGGCGACCACCTCCTGATAAGAAAACATAAGTTCAGGAGAAATCAAACAAGTTTGAAATTTAGCCAGCAGTCATGAGGTGGTCGTGGACAAATCCTGCTGTTGAAGCAGAGCTACGAGCCGATTTACCAGAACCTCGAGCACTATGCATGTGCAAACAAGACAATTAGATCGCATCGGAGCATCGGTCGCACACTGTCAGAACATGCATTGTGAGCTGTGAACTTTTAAACCCTGAGGTTTCTGTGTCCAACGATTGGAAATATCACACAGTGTATGCCCGGCTTTACAGTGGAGTCTGTAATGGACTGTGTCTGACGAATGTAGCAGTGGCGGCTGGTGAAAAATATTTTTGGTGGGGCTGATATAGCCTAGTGTATGTC